GTCGCGGGCCGGGGGGGAGGGGGCGGGTCCCGCCGGACAATGCACCTGGGGGTCAAGCCCCGGCTGAGGGTCTCCGGCCCGCGTCCCCGCCCCCTCGGCCTGCCCGCCGCCGTCGAGGACTGAGCCACAAAGGCCGAGCCTCCCGGCCCAGCCTGCCCCCGGGGCCCCTCACCCGCCGGCTTGTTTAGGATTCGGGGAAGGAGGAGGCGGGGTGGGGAGGGATGGTGTTGAGAGACGTGGAAAGGCCGGAGACTTCTCCCCTGATGGCCCCTGCCCATCCCCCTCCTTCCCTCACGCCGAGGCCCCTGTGGCAGGAACCCTGACTATTTCCCACTTCAGAGATTTGTCAGCGCCACCGAAGTGATAAGCCCCACATTTAGGAACAGTTTGTATCCCCCCTGCCCCCATCAGATGCAGCACTGGCTTCAAAACGCCTCCAAAGAGTGCCCTGAAAAGAACAATTACCTTTTGGGGAGATGTTTTATTGTCTGTTTCTCAAGTTAGTCTAAGTTCTATAAGTCGTGAGAACTTGGTGCACAAAAGAGCCTGTCCTAAGAGTTGAGGTGAGATCAGGAGATTTCTAGATTCTCTGAAAGCTCAGGGGGACTAGCTTTTAGTAGACTACCTGGTTAGAAGCTGAAGTAATAAGGAAAGACACAAATACGGTGAATCTTTGTTCACATCTCTTAAAATTAAGGATAACAAAAGGAGTTAAAAGGTATATTTAAAAATGTAATCAGATGGCTAAACATGTGTGGATCATAGAGAACTTTACATGTGGATTAACAATTGCTAATCCCACACTAAATCTATGGCACATGATGAGGGCATAGGCTAAAAGCTAACCTTAATGAAAAGTGCTGACAGAAACCTAGTTTTTGTCACTAAGACATCAACACATTGTCTTTTGCATGTTCCAAAAATCCTTCTTATGAAAAAAGGGGGCGGGGAATCAACAATTTTAGAACATCTGGGAGGGCAGCACTACCCTCTTGGAAAGCTTACTATAATAAGGATCAACCTACTTAACAATTTCGACTTAACTATATGTAAGACAGTAAAACGCTTGGCTATATTGCCTCCAAAACTTTTCTTAAAATTTACATGAATTTGAACTGTTTCTAAGCATCAAAATAAAGGTTTGTGGAAAGGGAAAATGTTTAGAGGTAATAAAATGAAACGTTTACAAGGATGTTTTAAATATCTGATCAATCAAATTTACCCAATGTGATATTCCTGTGTGCCACTAAATTTTTTTATTGTGAGACATTCTTCTACCTCTTGACTCCCCCTTCTCCCAGTTCCTTTTCAATCACCCCTAAGTGCTCATATTTCCTGGATAAGAATTGCTAATAAGATGCGCTTATGCTCTCTTTCTTGAATAAATCAGAATACAAGCTGGGGGAGGGGAGAGAGAAGCTAAAAAGCAAGGGAAGAACTTTTTTTAACTGCCATTTTGCCTTTACCATTTCAATTAATCATAGGAGACTTTGATTCTTATAAGATAGCTTTGGACCTTGAGTTGTACTGGGGAAAACACAGCATTGCATCTAATATGAAATTATGTATATGTATACCCATTTTAAATACAAAAAAAAGTATACACATTTTAAAAAAGGAAAACTGTGTTAAGATTGTATTACTCAATATATACCGATAACAAAAGATGAATACAAGTCATGATTAACTTCTGCAATTACAAGAGATGCTCAAAGTGGTTATATTACCATCAGGGTCCAGACACTTCTGATTACGGTGAACTACTGCTTGAGCAACATTGACCAAAATGTCCGCTTGTATACTTTTTTTTGTCACCAGATCATTCATATATATATATATATATATATATATATATATATAAAATTTAGAAAGTGATTCCTGTGTGCCACTAAATCTTATTATTGCATGACATTCTCTACCTCTTGACTCCTCCCTTCTCCAAGTTCCTTTTCAATTGACCCTAAGTGCTCATATTTCCTGGATTCCCTGTTTTAATATATATATTAAAATATTAAAACTGAATATTTTAAGCTGAATGAGCTTGTGAAAAAAGCACCCTTCTGCCTGAACCAGGTCATAAAACCCTTGTGAGGGGTGCATGCCCTCCATATCCTGGAGGAATCATGCTAGGACTTCTTCACGGATACACACACACACACAACCCTATTGAACTTTTCTGATATATTTACTGTCCCATGTTGGGTAGCAATAAACTTACTCTGATGATATAATTATACCATCTTATATAAAATTTGTAGTATACCCAGGGTTATTCATTAGTAAGTGGTAACTGGGAAACAGAATTCATGTCTTCTGATTTTTTTTGCTTTTTCTATTATTTCCTGCTCTTAATTTAACCCCCCCCCCCTTTTTCTCCTTTCTTTTTTAGAAAACACCTATTCCTGTTGGCTTCAGAATTTATAGCATACTTCTTTAAATAACACAGTACATGTCTTCCTGAACAGTTAAATTTTCTTGCCTGTATACTACTTGTCTTATATCATGTACTAGGCTACTTCAGGGCCTGTTACCCATTCCTGAATGCCCGACGAACTCCAGCACAGTACCTTGCATATATTGTAATAAGGTAACCACTACAGTGGTTAAGCATGGTTTTTGGTGTATGACAGACTAGAGTTCAAATTTCAGTGTTACATAGACAAGTTGTTTATACTCTCAAAAGTCACCTATTTGATGGAAATAAGTATAATAACAATGGTTGCTGTGATGTAAGGCATGGAAAGTACCTGCTGCGTAGCTGTAAAAATAGTTGCCTTTATTATTTAGTAAGTAAATAGTACCAATAATGACAAGTCTTTGTCTTTTCAGAGTGGGCTTAATTTTGAAGTATTCAAGTTTTTAAGAGTCAAGTCTAATTTGTTTGGTGGTTACTCTGATGGTGACTCTAATGACTTCTTTGAATAGTTCTAAACTGGCGCAGAGAGAGGTAGAAGCCTAGGTATTTAACCTCCCAATGCTACCTACTTGAAGGATAATCTCATTGAGATGAACAACTACCAAAGCCCTATTTTGCTTTCATATTGTAACCCAAGGACAATTATTTTCAAGCTGAAAAGAGTAGAGCCTATATAGTTAAAGTAGAACTGAAATCTGAGGGTAGGTTTAAAAAAAAAAAAGTCAGCTTTCTTTAAATAAATTGAAGTCTCCTGGCCCAACTTTGGGGGGAAATCACATAGCTTTACCCATCAATTATGGAGTTGTACCAAATGATCTTTAAGCCCTCTGACCTTGAAACGTTACCTGGTTCAGTGGAATCACAGGACCATTTGTATATGTTTATGAATCCTAGAGAATGAGAAAACAGTGAAAGTCTGGAGTTGTTTAATTGTTTTAATTTAACAAATGCTTATTGAGAACCTACTATGTTGGTGAGAAGGCCAGGCCCTCAATGAGGATCACATGCTATGATCTGCAGGTGATTTCAGACATCACTCACTGATGAGCTTAATATTTGCTATCAGAAACATTCTGGAAGCTGAATAATATTGAATGTCAACTATAATTTTATATATATATATATATATATATTCACGGGATGTGGAGTACAGCATAGGGTATAGAGTCAATGGAATTGTAACACCTATATATGATGTCAGAGGGGTAGTAGATTGGGGGAGGGGGTTATCACTTTGTGAGGAGTGTAAATGTCTATTACATTGTTTTGTACACCTGAAACTAATAAAAAAGAAAAACAAACATTCTGAAATGGATTATTTTAAAAGTGGAAGGTGACTCTTCATGGGATTGTAAAATGGTGCAGCTCCTATGGAAAACAGTATAAAGAGTCCTCAAAAAAATAAAAATAGAACTACAATATGATCCAGCAATCCCACTTCTGGGTATATATCCAAAAGAATTGAAAAATAGACTCTTGAAGAGATATTTGTATATCCAGTGGCTTTGTCATTGGATTCATATTTGTCTTTGATTGTGTTGAAAAGTCTATAACAGACAGGATTCAATATCAGCTGACCTTTTATTTCAGGCATTCTACTGCAATGCATCCAAAAAATAACAAGCAAAATATGCACATTCATGAATATATGGCAATAGGATGCTAAATATAACTTCTGGCATCTGAAAGTTAATCATTCCCTCCTCTTCAGCAATGGAATCATCCTCACATAAGACTCCTATTTCCAGTTCTGCTTGATATACCGTATTTGCCGGCGTATAAGATGATTTTTTGGCCCTGAAAAATATGCCTCCAAGTGGGGGGTCGTCTTATACGCCAGGTACACTTCAGATAGACTGCCCATAGTGCTTGCCCCGTGCCATAGTGGCCTCCCGATGCCCGCCCACTTCATTCCACATACCGTTCAGGCATCAGCAGCGCTGCTGGGTGTATGCTCGGCTGTTATGCGATTTTGCTGTTATGCGATTTTACCACACTCGCAAAATCGCACACAGCCGACCATACACCCAGTATGATAGCGCAAAATCACGAATCGCGATTTATGTATATGTTTGATTACATACAGCCTTGTGACAGTTTTCCTGCATGTCATAAGCATTTGAATATAAATAT